GGAGGAGAGGACTGAGCCAAGGCCCTCGCTGATCTGGGTGCTTGCTTAAGCCGTAGCCTGGAGTTAGAGACTGTCTGTGGGGAGGATGTGGTGTGTCTGATAAGTTTTAGCCCCATTCTGGGTCCTTAGCGATGGCTGAGGTCTTCCAGTGGTGACCTCTGTCTTCCACTCATTGTGGATGTCTGACTCCTAGGAGACACCCCTCTCCTCATGGAGTCAGGTGTCCCCTGTTACTTGTCACTTTGACGCCAGATCTTTCTTCCTGTGTGGATGGGGACAGCAGGTGAGGGCCTCTTGCCCTATATTAGAGTTGTACCATGTGACATGCTCCGGCTGGGCAGTCCTGAGATCCCAAGGCTAGCTCTCTTTCCCTCCACCCACGCGTGCCCACTGGGGTGTATCCATCCATCCAAACCCTTGTTTTCTGGTCCTAGGGAACTGGAAATAGCCAGGTGCCTCAGAGTAAATACGCAGAGCTGCTGGCCATCATTGAAGAGCTGGGGAAAGAGATCAGACCCACGTATGCAGGGAGCAAGAGCGCCATGGAGAGACTAAAACGAGGTGAGCGAGGGGCGTGGTTAAGGCTCTCAAGGTTGCCTGTCACTGTTGAAGACTTCTGAAGTCTTCTGAAGCATGCTGGTGGGTACCTGTAGTCCCAGCTCCTTGGGAGGCTGAGGCAGGAGGATGGTTTGAGCCCAGGAGTTAGAGAGGTTTCCTAGAGGACGTACTGGAGGTGGTCAGGGAAAGTCCCTTGACCTGTGGGTTAGTGATACACACTTGTGCTGTTGCAGGTGTGGCAGTTGGGTCTGAGGAGCTTTTGGGGTTTCTGAGAAGAGGTCACCCCTCACTCCTATACCTTGTCAGAGAGGCTCTATGGCCTCTCCATCTGTGCTGGGGGGGTGCAACTGTGACTACAGAGGCTCTCCTCTGATCAGGATAGGGTTCCTTTTGAGAGTTCCTTTTGTGTTTTTGATTTTTTTTTTTCACCATAGGGTTTCTCTGTGTAGTTCTGACTGTATTGGAACTTGCTTTGTAGACCAGGCTGGCCTTGAACTCACAGAGATCCACCTATATCTGCCTCCTGAGTGCTGGGATTAAAGGCATAAGCCACCATTGCTCATCTGATTTTTTTCTTGTTGTTTTGTTTTTGTTTTTGGAGATAGGGTTTCTTTGAGTAACAGCTCTGGCTGTCCTGGAGCTCACTTTGTAGACCAGGCTGGCTTCGAACTCACAGAGCTCTGCCCGGCTCTGCCTCCCAAGTGCTGGGATTAAAGGTGTGCGCCGCCACTGCCTGGCCCCATTTTTTTTTTTTTGTCTTTTTTAATTGTGGCAAAATATATGTAACATATAATTTAACATCTTAACAACTGAAGTTCTTTCATAGTATTGTATAGCCATCACACTGTGTGTCCAGAACCTTTCATCTTACAAATTTGAAATTGCTCATTAATTCAAACACTCCCCACTGCCCCTGAGATTCTTTAGTGACTGAAAAGGGAGACTGATGTCACAGAAAGCAAGGGAATCAGGTGTGAGGTGTGAAGGATGCTGAGCAGCATGCTACCTCATGACAGCTGCTGAGGGGACAGGCGCTCTATTTAGAAGTTATCAGAGGACCAGGGCTGTAGGTTCATTCATGACCAGGAGGTACTTGGTTGATGAAAACATTACAGAATGAACCTGGGAGAGAATGGAGATGGCCTGGACCTGGAGGTCCCCGGTCTGTGCCAAAAGGCTGTACTGAAGTCGGACTTGCCAATCATAGCTAGGCCAGGTAAGGATCGGCTGTGGCTGAATCCGTGGAATCTCTGAGAAGGTGACTAGACTGAGTACGAATGGGGACAGGAGTGGAGATGGGTGGCAACCAGCAGTGAGAGAGAGCATCCCCATGGATCGATACTGCTGCTTACACAACAAGAGGACGTGAGAGAATTCTGAGAACTGGAGAGCTGGTTCCAGATAGAGATTCCTGGGAAGATGCTAACCTGTGATGTCTTAAACAAATTTGCATCCACCCCTAAAGCCAGTGGATTGAATTATATATGGATGTACCAAGTGACTATTGCAGGATACATCCTGAGGGAACTGCTGGCCCTACAAGAATGAGGAAGACTTCATGTCACCCTAGCCAGCTGCTGAACCCATACAAGCACGTCACACCAGTGTGAAAAGATTTGAGGTTATCTTGATTCTGCCTTGAGAGTACTAGGATTGCAGTATGATCCACCACCTGGGCATAGCATTGTGATTTTTTTTTTTTTTTTTTTTTTTAAGCATTGTGATTTTTTAAAAAGGAGAGAACTGGATGTTACTGGCCTTGAACTCCTGGGTTCAAATGACCTTCTCTCATCACAGCCTCCTTAGCAGCCTGGCCTTTGCAGGTGTTTGGATAGAGACCCTCTATTCCCCTCAAGAATGGGCTTCATGACTGGGTTTAACCAACAGGTTTTCTTCCTGCTCTGTGAATGGGCTGATGCCCGTCTCTGCTTCTCTTGCAGGCATCATTCATGCCCGAAGCCTGGTTCGGGAGTGCTTGGCCGAAACGGAACGTAATGCCAGGTCCTAGCCCCTGGCCAGTCTGAAGGCCCATCTCGCTACCCTGTGGAGATGAGAGGCTTTGTTCAAAATGGCAGTGGTTTTCCTGCCGTGGTCATTAAGCTCTGAACCCACATCCAGAAGACTGGGAAGACATTTTGCAGTTACTGACGGTGTGCATTCTAAGTAGTTAGAAACCATCCAGCTCTTTTTTTCTTCCCAAGCATTGATTTGAAAGATGTTTGTGAAGCCACTTCACAGCAAGCTATTGTTTGCCCCCAAATCCCAGTGTCCCCTTTAAAATCTCCCTTTGGATACACTTGCCATTCGCCTCACCCCAGTTGACTTCCTTTCCATGAGCTCACCTGCCTCTGAGGACTTGAGTGCAGACCACAGCACATCTGCTTAGTAGCTGGCCTGCCTGTGGACAGTGTAGACCCTGTTTCACAGAGCTGCTCTGCTTAAGCCTTTGCATGACTGAGTGCTTTGAAGTCAATCTTAAACATGCACAAGTTATAAATACAGAAGAAAGAGCAATCTACCCAACCTGCCACGCGCCCTGCAAATGTCCATCCTGAGACTGTGGATCTCAGTTCCGTGTTTACTGTGAGACGGTCACAACATCTGGAAGACAACGACTGCAACTGTTGCATCTTTGTATTTATTACTTGATGTAATAAAGCTTATTTTCATTAACAGTTTGTATTGAGATGTGGGATCCTTGGGTCTTTGGTGCTTGTTTCTCTTTGGGGGAGGACAGTCTTGCTAATTAGAGTGACACTGGCCTTGAGCTCACAATCCTTGCCTTGGTTTCCCCAGGGTTGGGGTCACTATTGACGCTCCTGACGGAGGGCTGGGAGATACCTGCTAAGGCATTTCGTATCTGACTCAGACATCCCACTAGCACAGCAGGCTGTGAACTGTGTGCCTGAGTCTCAGGGATATCAGGTCCACATGTGGCCCTGTGGGAGGCAGGCGTCAGTGATGAGCCATGGGCACTGCTCCACTGTCCAGCAGGTGGGTGCTTCAGGGATCTCCTGGGCAGCGTGCTCACTCCTGCAGTCCCAGAACCTGGGAGACAGAGGCAGGAGGATCACATACTTTGTGCCAGCCAGAGCTTCATAGTGAAACATTGCTTTAAAAAAATTAATAGTTCTATGCTCCGGTGTTGAGGAAAGAGAGTCGTGCTTGGATATATCGAGTCACTGTGGTCTCCACAGTATTTCCTGGGACGCAGGAGTTTCTGCCGTGTGAAAACTGGCCCTGTATAAGACTTGGCTCTGAGCTGGTTGAAGATAAGTATCAGATGTACAGTACTGTGGGTGAGAAGCAAAGGGCTCATTCACAAAGTGTTCAAAGGCTAGCGGAGGGGACCATGGGCTTTGCAGCGTCACCATGGCAGAACACCAGTGTGCAAAAGGAAACAGAAGCTGCCCTTCCTAGCTACAGTTCTAAATTTGCCTTCCTGTGAGTTTCTTCTTTCCATAACTCCCTGTTCAAAGGAGCCTGATTATAGGAAGGATCTACTGTTACAACAAAGGGATCCCTGTTTGGAGTGTCCCAGGGAGCAGCTTCCGCATGTATGTAATGCAGTGTCCAGCCTAGAACAGCTTAGTGAACAGTGCTCCCCCACCCCTAGGTGAGGCGGGTAACAGCGAGCCTCACTGTTTCTCCCTATCTGTAGATCTATAGCCACATGTAAACAGGTTTCTCTGTCCTGCCCCATCCCAGAGTCCCTTCTTAGAGGCTTAATGGCCAAACAGCTCATAATGCACGGACACATAGGTGCATTAAAGAGAAGGGAGTGGTACTTTGGAGGCGTCAAGGACTCACCAGATACACAGAACATCAAGTTTCCACGTCAGGTGATGCCAGTTAGCCTGACTTGCCATTGTCTACTACCAATCACAAAGCCTGCCTCCATATATGAAGCCTTCATACAGGAACTGATGTTGACCAGAGGTCACACACACACCCCTTCTAGAAGACATGAGACTATCACCTGGCATGCAGGCTCCTGCCTGTCTGGCGGGAAGTTCACCAAGTCTTCTGCTCCCGGCTTGATTGTCTTACTCGGAAGTCTGATTTGGCATCACCCTCTTTCTTACCCTTCTCCGGTTGTTTTATTTTTCTCCCTGCTTCCTCCTCTGCCAGGGTACACCTGTCCCTCTAAAGTGACATCAGCACATCTGTCTCGGCATTTCCCCTGCTTGAGACAGGGTCTCACTGTGTCCTGGAACTTACTATGTAGGCCAGGCTGACCTTGAGCTCACAGCTGGGATTAAAGATGTGGACCACCTTTGAAATTCTAACAGGGAAAGCAAACCAAACAAATGGAAAACCACCTGTAGCTTTGTGTGGTGGTGCATGCCAGTAATCTTTGGGGAGGCAGAGATGAAGACCAGGAGTTCAAGGCCAGCCTGGGCTACATGAGACCTTAACTCCAAAACCAAAAAGACTAAGGTTCAATAGGCAAGTTCCACATCCATTTCTTTTTCTTTATTTTGACGACTCCACAGATAAATCCACATCCATTTCTGTTGCTGTGATAAAATACCCTGACAGAAAGCAACCTATGAAAGAAGAATTTATTTAGCTTGCTATTTCAAGTTACAGTAAGTCATCTTGGGGAAGTCAGGTAGAAACTCCAGTAGTATACCACATCCATTTAAGAGAGTAAAAGCATCGTTGCTTGCTCTTCTTAGCTAGCTTTCTTGTATTCTGGATTCCTGCTTAGGGAATGATGCTGCCCACAATGAGCTGGGTTTTCTGACTTAGTTAACAATACAGATAATTCCCACAGACATCCTTATAATTTCTCACTAAAACTTCCCTGGTGATGCTAGCTTGTGGGTTTTTTTTTTTTTTTTTAGTTTTTCGAGGCAGGGTTTCTCTGTAGCTTTGGAGCCTGTCCTGGCACTAGCTCCTGTAGACCAGGCTGGCCTAGAACTCACAAGAGACCTGCCTGTCTCTGCCTCCCGAGTGCTGGGATTAAAGGCGTGCGCCACCACCGCCCGGCATGCTTGTGTGAATTGTTAAAACCAGCAAGCACAGCAAGTAACTTAGTGCCACTTCGCTGATGGTTCATTTTCTTTACTACTCTTTACCAAAAACTAAGGCTAAATGATACTTGCCATAAAAGTGGGGTTAACTAATATCAGTACTCTTTCAAACTTTTTATCTCAACCTTGTATTGCTTGTTCATTTGTGTGTGTGACAAGTGTGGGCACACAGGAAATAGCGTACATCAGGAAGTCAGAGGACTCTGGAGTCAGTTCTGACCTTCCACCCTTATGTGGATTTTGAGGATCAAACTCACTTGTGGGACAAGTGCTCCTGCTCAAGCCCTAGCCCTCCCAAGTGCCGAGACCACAGTGTGCACCACCACTCCCGCCTCCAGGACGCTTTCTTTAGATGCTCCAACTCTGGTGCCAGGCATTACCACTGCTATTCCCGAAAGCCCCCTGGTACAGCGTCAGCACCAGTCCTTTCCTCAGGAACGTGTTGACTTGCTTCCCATAGTTCTTTCAACAACTTCTTTTTTTCTAGGGTCTCCTTTGCTCTTTTCTTCCTCGCTTGCTTTTTCCTCTCAGCCTCCAGCTTTTCTTTGTGGACACGGCTGTTTTCGCCATTGTAGAAGATATCCACTTTCTCCTGGAGGATTTTTCGAGCTATCTTTCTGTTTTGATCCACTGATCGTGTTTGGTGGCACTGCAAGAGATCACGGCAGGAATGTGAAAACCATGGGTGTGGGGTGATGGGCAGGACCTCAGAAGCCACCCATTCTTCACAGAGGGAAAGGCCAGGAGGGCAAAGGCATGAGCCTCTTGAGTCAGCCATGTGGGTACTGGGAATCAAACCTGGGTCTTCTGGAAGAGCAGACCAGTGCTCTTAACCATCTTTTCACCCCCAATAGCTTTTAATTAATTTAAGCAGTTTCCAAGTAATAATGGAAGCATTGACTGGAGTCTCTAGCTTGTGGTCAGGGAGCGACCCCTGTGGAAAATTCGCATGCCACTCACAACCGTGTATTCGTCTGGATAACAGCTTGCCACAACATTCGGTTTATGTGGAAGTGATGGCGGCCAGGGCCTAGCAGAGTTGAGGGGCAAAGGAAGTGCTGTGGCACGAGGGGGAGATTTCCAAAAGGAAAATGAAGCTAGTGGCAAGTGCAACAAAAAATGTTTTTGGAGTTTTGTTATGAATGAGGGTTTTAATTTCTGTCTTCTTGGCCCCAGAAACCGGCCATGAAGCAGCTACTGTGAATCTGGACTCCCCTTGAAGGACTGTGGGTGAGCAAGTTCCTTGTCTGGTCAGGCAGTAAGCACTGTTTTCAGGCCTCAGAGCTAACACACAGTGCCTGCCCCTAGTGGTGAAATACCTGCTGGTAGACTGGCTGTGCCTGGGAAAATCTGCACTGCCTGCATGCTCCTTCAGGGCTGTGTGTGGCTCTGGGGCCCTCTAGTGATGGACACACGCACAGCAGTGGCCGTGGCTGGCTGGCAGCTCTGCTGGCCTCACTCCTGTTTTAGAGGCAGTGCGGCTGCTGCACTCTGGGCTAAAAGGCACTCGGCCACTTGCTACACCTGTGGCTTGTTAGGGGCTGTGCTGCCCTTGACCAGAGACCGCCTTCTTTAAGGAAGGCTTACACTGGCAGCTGTGAAGAGCGCTTTGCCTCTGCTTCCCCTCCACCTCATCTTTTCCTAGGAAGGGCAAGTGTTGGAGATGTGTGCAAAGCAGGGCAGAGGGACATGGAGAGCTACCCTACAAACTGAGAACTGAGATAGCTAGCCAGAAGCATAGTCCATCAGTTCCATGCGCCGACCAGGGGTGGCTTTGGGGATAGCAGGCTTAACCGCAGCATCCCTTGCTGGTGACACACAGCTGAATTCAAGGACAGCGGCAGAGCTCTGGCTCCTGAGACTGGGCAGGAGGTTCATTTCCAGAGAGACAGACAGGGTTTGGGTACATCTGCAGTGTCCTGATTCTACTGGGTTGGCAGAGCATGCCAGTGCCCGAATGGGCATGCCCCTTACTGAAGCCTGCTGTGGCTGCAGACCTGGACTCCTCATCTACCCGCCCCCTCCACTCTCTACCTTGACCACAATGCCGGAGGGCACATGTTTGAGTACTACACAGTTGCTGGTTTTGTTGGTGGCCTGGCCCCCTGGACCATGGCCTTTCACAAACTGTTCTTCAAGCTCACTCTCATTCAGGGGAAGCAGAGCAGGATAGTCCTTCCTGCCTGCCACCTGCACCGCAGCAGCAGCCATTCCTGGGAAGAGCAGTGCTGGCTTCTCCTGAAGCCCGAGTCCCCAGTTCCCCGAGCACATCCTGATCAGCGGTGCAGGGAAACGGAGCAAAGCCCAGGTGCTCATCACAGACATGAGGCGGTGCGGCAGGACCTGCGATGGAGAAAGAATGAGGCCATCTTTTCACTTTGCTCTCCAGAGGACAGCCAGGCTTCAAACACAGCTTTTTATACAGCCTCAGTGACAGCCCTTCATGCCCAGGGCATGTAGGGGACAAGCAAAGGCAGGCCTCTCAGGGCGGGAGTTGCCCAGCGTTCTAGCTGTCCATGCCCTGTCAGCTAATACACATACTGTTTCCTTTCTTCCTTTCTTTTTTAAGCCTATAGCATGGGGTATTCCCATCCAAGTACTGACCAGGCCTGACCCTGCTTAGCTTCAGAGATCAGTGCGTTCAGGATGGGGGGCGGGGGTTATGGCCACAGACTACACATTTTCTTATAACACACCAAAAATATCTTCTGAGCACCTGGAGGTGCCATCTCCTTAGGCAAGAGGTACTGAGTGTGACATTTAAAGGAGCAGGGCTGTGGTTTGCTAAAGACACTAAAGAGCACATTGAGGAAGAATTAGGACCTGAGTCAAGGGCAGTGTTTAAATGTGAAATCTGTATCTGTGCGAAGATGGCAGCATCAGTCTATTTTATAGCTGAGCTTAAAGTCTGACATAGTAAACCCACAACAAAACTTCACTGTCAGCCAGTGCCCTGGCTGCTGGCTTGTAATGCTGGCAGTTTCATGGATTTGAATGGGAACATCTGCCCTGGGATGCACTGCCAATAATGTGATCCAACTGGTCTTGTTACCAAATCAAGCAGTTTTTAAGGCGCCTGTTAGGCCTAAACACCACCAAGGATGTGGGACCCATGAGCTCGCCAGAGAAGACACTCAAGACTACGTGGGGAGTGAGCACCCATGCACATTCAGCCCATTCTTAACAAGTTACAGCCCCAGGGTCAGAAAAGTCTTTGCTTTTAAACAATGAAAGAGTTAAATAAAGCCAATCCTAGCACTCAGGAGGCTAAAGCAGAAGGACTGCCAGGAATTTGAGACCAACCCAGATTATAAGACCCAGTCTAAAAATCTAAGATTTAACTAATGACTCAAGATACAGCACAACACTGAGATCACTTAGCTGACAAATGAACAAGCAGGGAATTGTAGCCACAAGGACATGGTCAACCCACAGGCTTTTGAGGTCTTCAAGGGGTCAACGGTAAAAATGAGCTAAGACTCCTTGTGAATTTGCTTTTCTCCACACACCGCGCATTTGGTAGAAAAGAGCAAAGGAGAAAGTATTCTGGGGGTGGCTCTCCTAGTGATTCTGGGGCTCGGCAGCCAGGTAATCTCATTTGAGGGCTGTGCGTCTGTTGAGGGTGTGCGGGTGCCAAGCATAGGGATGCTACGTTCACACAGCTCTCCGAGGCTCTCAATAGCAGCTGAAACCTGGTGACAAGAGTCCAGGCAGTTGGTCTGTGACATATGGAGGAGCTAGCTTCTAAGATGACCGGACCTCCCGGACAGAAGTGCCCAGGTTGCAGTCAGTCACCTGTGACTGCTGACTCGTGCTGTGTCTCCCCAGGTGAGCACTGGGGAGGGCAGCACTGGGGGGGAGGGCAGCACTGGGGGGGAGGGCAGCGCCGGGAAGGGAGGGCAGCACCGCCGGGAGGGAGGGCAGCACCGGGAGGGAGGTAGGGCAGCACCGGGAGGGAGGGTAGCGCAGGGAGGGAGGGAGGGCAGCGCAGGGAGGGAGGGAGGGCAGCGCCGGGAGGGAGGGCAGCGCCGGGAGGGAGGGAGGGCAGCACTGGGAGGGAGGGAGGGCAGCACTGGGAGGGAGGGAGGGCTCCTGACGAAGGCACACTGTACTTGGTGCTTTACTTTTCACTTGGTTTATTTTATTTTTTTGAGACAGGATTTCTCTGTAGCCCTGGCTGTCCTGGAACTTGCCGTGTAGACAAGGATGGCCCGAACTCCTGAGTGCCTGCCCCAGTGCTGGATTACACGTGTGTGCCACCACTGCCTGGCTTGTTTTTTTTTTTTTAACTTTATTTATGTAGGTTTTTAAAACTTACTTAATCATCATCATCGCTACTATTGAGACAGGATCTCTATTATGTAGCTCTGGCTGTCCTGGAACTTGCTGTGTAGACCAGACTGGGCTCAAATTCCCAGAGATCTGCCTGCCTCTGCCTCCTGAGTGTTGGGATTAAAGGTATGCGCCACCATGCCCTTTTAAAATTTTCTGTAAGGCGGGGCGGTAGTGGCGCATGCCTTTAATCCCAGCACTCAGGAGGCAGAGGCAGGCAGATCTCTGGGAGTTTGAGGCCAGCCTGGTCACAAGAGCTAGTTCCAGGACAGGCTCCAAAAGCTATGGAGAAACCAAAAAAAAAAAAAAGAGTGCTTATTGCTGTTGCTTATTGCTGTTACAGAGGACATGAGTTCAGTTCCCAGCACCCACATGGGGTCGTTCCTTCTAACTCCAGTTCCAGGAGATCCAATGTGCTCTTCTGGCCTCTGAAGCACTGCACACACACAATAATTAAATCCAAATGCAATAATCTGAGTTTGGTCCTGGGACTCCTGGTAGGAACTGACTCCTGAAAGTTACCCTCTGACCTCCACATGAGCACTGTTCAACACACAAACACATGATAAAAAATACTTTTTTAAAGCATGAATAAAAATACTGGTTTTGTTCAATGAGTCTGAAGTATTTTAGAATTATCCTTAAGAAAACACGAGTGAGCCAGACGGTGGCGCACGCCTTTAATCCCAGCGCTTGGGAGGCAGAGGCAGGCGGGTCTCTGTGAGTTCTGCTCTACACAGAGAAACTGGTTCAAAAAAAAAAAAAAAAAAAAAAAAAAGGAAATGATAAGTGACCAGGATGTGGCGGTCCCCACCTGAAATTCCAGAACTTGGGAGGCCAGGCCGGGAGTCCTAAGACTCTGTCTCAAAAGAACAATAACCAGGGCAGGTGCAGTGGGTAAAGATGCTTGCCACCAAACCTGATGGCCTGTGTTCTCTCCAAGGAACTCGTAAGATGAGAGAACTAGCTCCCAAAACTTGTCCTCTGACCTCCAGATATGTGCTGTGGCATGCACCTCTTCCCTGATAAAATAAAATGTAATTCAAAACAAAACATCCCCAAATAAACAAAGAAGAAAATGTGACAAACCCAGACACTATAATCAGGGACAGGGCTAAGTTCATGTCCAGAATTACCCTTTTCTTTTTTTTAATTAATTAATTAATTATGTATACAATATTCTGTCTGTGTGTATGTCTGCAGGCCAGAAGAGGGCACCAGACCTCATTACAGATGGTTGTGAGCCACCATGTGGTTGCTGGGAATTGAACTCAGGACCTTTGGAAGAGCAGGCAATGCTCTTTTAACTTCTGAGCCATCTCTCCAGCCCCAAGAATTACCCTTTTCTTATTTCTGCCCTCAGTGTACGGAACAAATTCTGCTGTGTAGCAGAAGGCTTCAAGTCCCTGGGGAGGGCTGACCATGGAATAGGAGCCCAGGGTCTCTCCCGATAGTCTCTTCCACCGGTTAGTGAACAGACCGGAGAGGACAGCAGTGATAACAGCGCCCTGACAAAGGACAGCAGGGAGGGTTCTTTCATCAGCGGCCATCACAGCTACCGGCCCCATCGCTGCCCTTCTGTCTTAGTTCAGAGCTGACGGGCACCCTGGAAGATCTCCCACCCAGCAGAGTTCAACGAGGCCCCCAGTGTTCAGTGACTGAGAGCTCTGTTTAATGGCTAATTCCAGCAGCCAATCAGACAATGCTAGACACCCCAGTGACTGCTAAAAATGACAAACACACCATGGCTCTGCTTCCCCAAAGCCCAGACTGGATTTCAGGTTTTGTGTCCCCACAGGGCAACCCGAAGTCTTCGGGAACAATAGAAACAGCTCAAATTCTATCTCATTGTGACATTAGAAAAATACGAGAGAAAATGTCAAAAAGAAGTGCTAGTAAGGGGAGACCGGCAGCCGGCAGCTCTGCCCTAATTCCTGTCTGGGAATATGGGCTTTAATGTGGGGATGGCTCTGTACCTGACTTCCCCGGCCCTCCTTTTTCTTTGATGATGGCTTCAGCTATTCATGAGCCAATGAAGTTTGGGTTAAAGCCTCCCACTGTCTGAGTCCTGACTCGGTCAAGTGTAGAGAGAATAGACCTGCCAGACCTTCCAAAAGGGACTGAATTTGTCTGGTGGAAAATCTGGTTAAATGCATGCTAAGCATCAGGCATGGGCCTCAAGGAGCATGAGCTGTTTGCCCATCACAGAGACATGAAGGCATGTATAAATACAACAGATGTACAGCCGAGGCTATGCCAGCCACAGGCCCCAGATCCCCACAGCGCTCATCACCATTTCTGGATCACAGACATTTTCAAATCAGCCCAAATCTGGGAGGGTACAGCTGCAGGGATGGTCTGAGACAGAGCCATGCCGGGTCAAATGAGATGTGTCCACAGCCCGAATGCTGTGGATGGGAGCAGGGGAGCCTTTTTATATCTCTTGAGAAGCATGAAGACTCGGGCTGGGAGTTCAGTGGTAGAGTTTTGCTTGCTTAGCCTGGCCCTGGGTTTCATTTCCCAGCATTGCAATAACTGCGTCAAGTTGCAGATTTTTAAAACCAGTGGGACTAGTGGTCTGGCTCAGCATGGAAACTGTAAAGGAGCTTGTCACCAAGTTGGAAGACCTGTGTTCAATCCTGGAGCCCACTCTCGCAAGTCGAGTCTGTCCCTCCACCTGCGCTTGCGCATGCGCGCGCGCGCGCGCACACACACACACACACACACACACGCGCGCGCGCGCGCGCGCGCGCGCGCGCC